CTCTTAAATATATCAAATTATGGACTATATATAAATTTTCATAATTGAAAAAATAATGAGTTCATAAATTTGTTTCAAAAATAATTCATCTATTACATTTATGTGTAATTAAATGTCACATGTAAAAAATATAGCAATGTTCACATAACATAAATGTTATATTTATCTTATTTTTTACAGAAATAAAAATAAAACATAAGAAATACATATAAATACATATAAATATAAAAATATCTTCATATTTATGTTATGTTATATTTTATATATTTGAGTTTCATGATTCTAAATTTCAGCAAAGATATTTAAAGTATGTTATGTGTTAAAAACCTTGTCAAGTGTGATAAATATTAAGCTAAATAAGATGAATGATTTGGTAAATTATGCAAAATCAAATTTTCTTCAATTTTGCAAACAAATTTATCAATACAATAGATTTTTTTGAAGTATTAAGATTACGATTGAATGTAATTTTTTATTAGTTATACAATTTTCAATACAAAGTTTCGCTTTCAATGTTGCTTTACGATGCATCATTCAATGCAACACGTATAAAGAGATTTTATTTTATTCACTAAGATTAAACATAAAAATAATATGTACAACTTGTGAATCTTTGTTATACATTATACTTTCATATACAATCTTGCAAAACTATTTTAACTATTTTTTTTGAGCATGAGATTTTCTTAATATGTGCAACATGTAGACAGTATTCATGTAATAAAATCTTGGGGTCAAAATTTTCTAAATTTATTGATCATCTTTAAATACATCATATGTACTAATTGATATGAACTATATATAAATATTAGAGTTATTTCCATGCAAATAGATAGTTACATACTAAAATATTGGATGTATATCAAAACCCAACGGTAAAGGTCAATCAATAACCCTGCTCAAATCCAAATCCATTCCTTGCCATGGATTTTGGATGGCAAGGAGTTTGATATTGTAAGTCATGGATGGGTATTGTTCTGAAAAGATTATAATATTGGATGAACACAACTTTCAAATGGTTACAGAACCAATATTTTTACACATTAATTCTTTGTTTGGTACATGTATCCTTATATTTGTCATGTCAAAACATCAAGTTTAATAATAGATGTATTTTATATGTTCAAAGCATTTAATCAATGTATTACGTTAGAATAGTATGCATTGCGCAAACTAGACTTTTCATTGTTTCAAAATAAAATTATTGTGAGAAAAGTGTACATTGTGCAAACTAGATCATATCTCATTTGCACAAAAAATAATGCTTTAAAATTTTAAAACAAAGATTTTTGAATGTGAACGTAACATTTATGTTATTGCAAAGGAGCTCTTTTGACTATATTTGTGATAGAGAAGAAACTAAAAGACTATTTGTAAATTGATGCAAATTTTGTATTGTTTTGAGCAATATCCATACTAGTCTAAACTGTGCACTTTTGAAAAAATTTCGTGCAACAATTCTATAAGTACATAGAACTTTTCATGTTGATGCAAAATGTTGCACGACTACAAGTACGCAGTTGTGTTTTGGATACAAGAAAGCATACACGTTCCAAAAATCACTAGTACCACCATCATGAATATCACAAATGTATCAAAGCTCAAAGATCAAAAAATATAGCAATGAAGGTATTTCCAAAAGACGTCTCCACCATAGATGATAAGAGAAAAATGATGTTTAGGGTTGCCAATTATTGCACAATTGACCTCAAAACATTTGAATCGATAACAAAATAGGGTTTGAAAAAACTTATTGAAACAGATGAAGATATTGATGTTGCAAATAATAAGCAATTCATGATTGATTACATGTTGTGTCAATCATTTACCCCAAACACAACATAAAGATTTAAGTGATAAAGGAACAAAATATAATGTCAAATCATATTTAAGATCACATTGATACTAACATATTCATGGCAAACGTACTTTATTTACAGATAGATAGTTCACAAAAATAGCTTACGAATTTATCACAATCCAATACACCAATGAATAGTGTGCTATGTTTGATTTAACATTGCAAATGAAGTATGTTTGCAATGAGAGCTATTATGATTTTGAACAAGTTCAAAAAAGCTTTGGGTATATTTGATATCATATACATCCGAGTTGTAAAGGCACCGAGGTATCATTTTTAATAAAATCACTATTATAGCAGATTGTGAACATTGCAGTGAAGATTACATCCCAATCAAGTTTAACTTGCTAGGATTTATTGATCATAAAATTACAAACATATTTAATCAAGCAAATTATGATACAAGTTCATGATAAAACCATCAAACTTTTTTTTATGACAACAACATGATGATATAACTTTCATTAATGCTTAAAAGAGCTAGATTTCATATTTTAAAAGCCAAATTTTCAATAAAAGTTTTGGAAGACGCTCATATAGGAAAAGACAAATCCATAAAACTTAATGTATCATTTTTTGCTTATTTTTTTAAAATAATAAATGAAATGATGTATTTACGTAAATTTAACGTTACATTGCAAAAATTTGTGTTAATTTCAGAGACATTATTGAATAAATTAATTGACTCATTGTCATCATTACATAAGGAAACTCTAGATTCAAACAGTTCTAAGTGGTTGTTCAAAGAAAAAACATTGCACAAGGTTGTATTTTGGAGATCATTTTTGAAGCATATGAAATTTGTTATAAACAATATAATTAATGACGATGACACTGTTAGTATAAGTAAAAATTCATCTTTGATCATAGCTTGTAAATAGCTCTTTACATCTCTAATGCAAGAAAAGATGAATCTTGACATGCTCAAGTTGTAACAACACATTTGGATTTTATTATGAAGAAACATATGCGCAAGATGAAGACCTCAAACATTTTAGTTTCTAAGATAAAAACAAAACCAATGACTTTTTTGTGGTGATTGGCTGATGAAAGTTTTTACAAATTTGGATCACAAGAATGATGATATATTAACTTCATCATAAAAAAATGTTAAGCTGATGATACGATGTCTATGTACAATGAGTTAATGTAACAATTAGAAGACATCAATTGCATTTGTATTCAAATTTTAGTTTTCAACAACCTTGCATATGCTCAAACTGAGCTTAAATTCAATACGTATGATACATAAATAAAATGACATCATTGCAGCGATGAGCTCAAAATAGCCAATGAAGCACTACAACACTGCTAAGTTTGATATATTCTTGAGATGAAAGCTGTAAAAAATCTTCACATATCTCATCATATAGTGCATGAAACATTTCGCTTTGTGCATACCTACAACCCACTTTAAATTGAGGTCAAACTTCTATTATGCAAGAAATTTGATACTAAGAAGAGCTCCAAGCTAAAGCCAACGACTGTGAATAAATTAAAATTAAAACATAAATACACAACTTTCTTTCACAATAAAATCTCCAAGATTTCAATTGCGCAAATTATTTACTAGTTCACATTGTGATTGAAATATGAGCAACCAACCATATGTTAATTGTTTCATCAAACATTAATCTATAATATTGTAAAAAATTACACAAATTAATCAATATGAGATGGGATATGAAATGTTGAAATCATTAAGTTACATTATAATATATGACCAGCATGCTTATCCGTGGTAACAAATGCGCACAAAAAACTTATAGATTGAGGGTCTTGTTTATGTAAATAATGGAAAGTTGATGAAAACTCTGATGCACGCGATGTAAGAGTTGCTTGCATAAAAGTAAAAAATGTGTTTGAAAGGATTCACAATCGAGTTAGAAATCAAATTGATTTGAAATATGAACATTTTACATATTTGGATATAGCTTCTAACATAAAGCTGCAGCGAACTGTTTGTTATCATCAAACTCAAAACATCAATGTTGTGATAGTGATAGTACAATGTTGTAAACAAGCTCAAGTATCCCATGCAAGCATATGTTTATCAAAAGAAATGAAGCCACTATTTATGTTGTCATTTAAAGCTTAATTTGATGAATATTTGATGCGACATAATTTTTTCAAATGATAATTTTTCTCAAAAAAACTCAAGTCAAATTTACGTTGTGTCTAAATTCAAATCATCATTAAGGCCAATCTTGCCAAGAAATTTAAATTAAATAGGTAGATTTGCACGCCAAATAATCAATTCAAATTTTTTAATCTATTCTATGTAGGTTTGCAAAATCTATCGTCAATATTTATAACTTACTCTTGATGAAAAATATTTGAAATGTGTTGCAATTTCATATTTCATGCACACATTCACATCCATAAACTGAATTTCATTAAGTGCGTTCTGTTTCCGTTCTTCGTATTTGTGATAGTTGAAGATAATGTTATTACTACCGAAATTGTGAATTTGTTGTTTTATTAGCATATTTCATTCAATTTCTAAGAAATCGTGTTTAAATATGTCTTGTTGATGAGTTTTAAGTTTTGAATTCTAAGAGAGTTTTGCGCATGTTTGACAAAGTTCTATTCTTGCGCTAGAATACCGTTGTTACAATGATTTTACATAGTCCATAACTGGTATGTATGACTAACCCATATCTAGTATGGATCACGGTATATTCTAGACATATGGATCCTTGCTGATACTCACAAATATTTATTAGCACAAGAATCCCGTGAAGTAATTTTATTGTAGATTACAGATAAATAAAGACTCGACTAGCACAAGAGTTATTTACTGATGGAGTTGGTATTGTGGATTTTGTCGGACCAGGTATCATACTGCGGATACGACGCTCACTGAGCAAGCTTCACTCCGAAGCCAGAAAAGATGCGGCGATTTATGGGATTTAAACAACCAGCCGCATAAGTGAAAGATTCCACAATGAAGTCTCGAATATCCGGCATAACAAGGAGGAGGTGACCGGATAATACAGCGGCCGAAGATGACTCGGTCGCCAACGAGCTTCGGCAAGAATTGGGGCAAACTCGAAGAAGATGAAGAGGAAGAGAGGAGGCGACGTCCGGCGGCGCCCGGCCTCCGAAGAAGTACGGAACCCCACGCGCCAGCCGCTGCACAGCAGAGTGCTACGCGGACAAGAGCACTCGTACAAGAGCAAAACCCTTCTTCGCTTCCCCTTCCACGAGGCCTTTCTGTCTCCCTCTCTCTCTCTCTTCCACGGCCTCGCTCGCTCTCCCGCTCTCTCCACGAGCAGCCAGTCTTCAAGGAAGTTGGACGAGCAGTTTCCCGCCCAGTTCGGTTGTGTTTTTCGGAGGGTTTCAGCTTCAGGAAGCGCCGGGACGAAGTGACAGTGAGGTAGCGGAATCGGCGTGCGATGGAATTCTGGGGTACGTCGGAACTGTTACGAGCTTTTGAACTCTGAGGAAGTTGTATGAGTGCTGTAGCAACTTGGCGGTCTGAGGGTTCAGGGTTTTAGGGTTGCTGCAATCGATTTTGAGATTTTGCCGATGAATGTGGTGCAGGAGTTGCAAGTCTGTAGGTTTAGGGTTACATCCCCGGAGTTTAGATTTTTCTGCGGGCTGGTGGGAGGGAGTTCTGTTGTTTCTGCGAAGTTGAATTCTTCAGTATGATCCCGTGGAGAGTCTGTTTGAAGTCTCCATATTTTCGTGAGTTGCGACCCTTTGCTTAGTGGGGAGATACTCGTCTGTTCTGTTTCCACTGGTGTAGTGCGTCCTTGCACCATGCTTTTTCTGTTGCCTGCAGATGGCCTGTATCTCTAAGTTTCTCGAACATCGACGCAATTTACAGCTATGGAACCCATATCCTGATCTCTGAGCTGAGTCTGTGCTATGCAAGTTTATTCTCTCCGTTCTGATGTTTGAGTCTTGGATTCGCAGGTACGGAGGTCGCACCTGGCGGACCTCAAGTATGTCATCCTGGAGATGAAATGTACTGCCATGTTTCGCAGGTAAGCCTATTGTTTCCATGTTGTGCTTTCTTGTTTCATCCGACTGTTTCATCCTTTTATAGCTAATAGCCTACATTTTTGGACAGGCTGCGCTCGGGCCCAGCTCGAGTGGAAAGTCGGAGAGGGTTGTTCTTCGTGTTGAAACTGGAGGAAAAGATGTCGTCCTCGGCACCTTGTCCTCTGGAAAGTGTGATCAGATGGCCTTAGATCTAATTTTTGACCGAGAGTTCAAGCTTTCGCACACGGGGACTTCCTGCAGTGTTTACTTCTGTGGATACAAAACCGAGAAGGGAGAGCCAGAAGAGTTCGATTCCGAAATGGAAGGTATGGAATGGGCTGTCCTTAAGCACACCAGAATGTTGTAGTGCTTACGTTTCTTTGACTCTTTCGCAACCAACATGTGTTGAGTTATAGGTGAACATCTCTGACACGATCGGGTGTTGATAATGCAGAGGAGGAGGAATCAGACGAGGAGGAGGTTCCGGAAGCCGTACCAATGAAGGCCAACGGGGATGCGAGTAAGCAGTTCACTTGACTTCTGCGATATTCGTCTTTCATACTATGGAATGTTGAGTTGGCTGTATATACCACAGGCGACTTGATCTCATAGTCTTGTGGATGGTCGCAGAGGGTGCATCAGTAGCTAAGGGTGCCGCAGATTCGGTACAATCCAAGAAGCCTGGGAAAAGTCCCACCAAGGCCAAACTCATCGACGATGAGGCTGATGAAGACGAAGACTCCGACGAAGACGATGACGAGGTACGGGGTAAACCAGCGTTCTTGTATGTTAGAGGTCGGGTTGGAAGATCTAGGTTGCTATATCTCTAACTGCCATGAGCACATGCCCACTTCCACATTCAGATCTTCTTTTGCAACCACAGGGCCGTTTAGCTGAGGTTTCTAGGAAGGTCAAAGTTAGGCTTCTGTGCATCTTCGTGGGACATCATTGCAATTTTTTTCTTGAATTCTTGATCTAGATCATTATTGTTGTTCAAGATAATAAGTGCTCATGATGGGCTCGATTGTCCACTCGGACTGCCACTTAGACAGACAACTTCTCGTTCGGAGGATGAAGATATCCACCTTCTTGCCAGTGTGCTCTCTTGAACACCGTTGACGACAGTAGCTACCTTGCGAAGTTCATACTCCGTCCCATCCTACGGGGCTTGGGCATGTGTTCCTAGTATTCTCAAAATGCTTGGTAGTTTAAGAAGTCTGTTTTTAATGTACGCACTGAACCTTTCAGCTCCATTTTCCGGTATGCGAGTTTTGTTTGCTGTCATGTGTTTCGGTTCACAAGGCGGTCGTGGTCCTGAGACTCATGTTCGGTGGGGACCTACTGATCCCGTAAAACTTCTCTGAGAAAGGCGTGTACCGGAAGTGGACCCGCCTGGACACTCAAGTCAAACTGATGGTTATGTTTGGTTTGCTTTAGGATGAATTTTCCCAGATGAATTCAACTGTGATGGACTTTGACTCGGATGATGAATCTGGTGAAGATGACAGTGAGTTTGAGGTGTGTTTGGCGGGGATCTGCCTTCTTGAACTGCACATCTACCCCATATCTTTTCACTCCAAAAAGTTCCATCTTGATTTTGCTTAGTCTTCTCACATTTACTTCTGGGCTGCGGTGTGTACTGTCGACCCTTGCTTGAATGAATACCACGAGGTTACTTGCACTGCGTGGTAATGGCTGATCAACGAACATCCACCTAACGCTAGGTATTGGGATGATTGCCATTCTAACGTGCTTACTTGGCCTTTCTGCCAGGGTGATGATCTGGACGACAGCGATGAGGACGACTCTGATGAACTTGAGGATGAAGACGACGAGGACGACAGTGATGACGAGGAAGATTCTGATGATGAAGAACAAACGCCCGAGGTATACCTTGTTCAGAATTCGTGAGTCTTACATATTGACTAGTAATCACAAAATATTTTTGTCCTTCACTAATTATGTTTGTTGACGGCTCCAGCTCGGAAAGAAGAGACCGTTGAAAGGAGATGAAGGCAAGTCTCCGAGTGGGGGCAAGAAGGCGAGGGTGGATACACCTGCTAGACCAGGCATGTTTGAGCTCTCCCCCTCTTCAACTCGTTCAACACCTGATCTTGAGCCCTTCTGATCTCTCACCCTATGTTACTTCTGAAAGCTTTCTAGTGATTTTCCAGCACCTCGTGTACATCAGTTGAGCAGGTCAAGATCTCTTGGTGTACATGTCCCGAATTGTTCCACCTGAGTGAATGGGTGGACAGGAACGTGTTCAACGTTGACAAGATCGATAGTACTTTTGTAAACACCAGTCCATCCACTCAATTTACGACACCTGTGATTCTCTTACTGGAGCACCGCGGAGTTAGATTGATGTGTACTAGCATTGTTGTCACATTCCCTTGCCCACAGGGAGTCAAACAGCTGCTGAGTATTGGGAAAGCCTCATCGCTGCTGCTGCTGCTGGCAGCAAAGGTATTGTCGTCACTGAGATGAACCTTTGAACTGACCCTTTGTGCAAAACCCAGGAAGGAACTCTGACTTTGCTCGTATTGACGTTTCACATGAACGTTGTGCGTCTGTTATGCAGGATTGGCCGCATCCCCTGGAAAGAAATCGGAGAAATCAGCCTCTAAGACCGCTGTAGTGACCCCCTCTAAGGCCACACCAGTTGCAGGTAGCAAGAAAGTGAAAGGCTCGAAAGAGGCGAAGAAAGAGGAGAAAACTCCTCAGAAGACTCCGGGAAAAGAAGCCGTAGTGAAGGTTGGCATTACCCTTTCAAAACCTGTAGGCGTCAGATGATTGTTCTTCGTTTGTGTAATGTAGTTGTTTCTCATGCAAAGTTGATCTCAATATGTGCTGTAGACTCCTAAAACTTCTTCGAAGACCCCTGCGAAGGTCCCAACTACGCCTTCCACGGACTCCGCTAAAAAGCTCAGTACCGCACACAGATGTGAAAGTTGTAAAAAGTGAGTTCATCCTTCACCCAACGACTTTCCAAAGCAACGTTTGGTGTCCCTAAATAATCGTTGGTTAAAGCTCTTTAGCATTCTCGATGGCAAGCTACGCGGACTAGTGCTGTGATGATCAAAATTATCTCGTTAATCTGAGCCGAAAGGCGTGAAGATCAACAATATCCATTCCTTCTGAGCACTCTTGACGATAGGGAAGCTGGCCCTTCCAACATGACACGATAGTCTCTTCGAGATGTCAGTTTTAGTGTGAGGACCGAAGTGCTATCTGTTCGATCGAATGTGCTCTGCATTCTGTGACGGTGCTGTGATGAGTATCTATCTCGTTAATCTGAGCCTATGGGCATGAAGACAAAAAAATCCATTTACTGCTGAGCACCTGGGCCTAATATATACATTCCAGCTTCGTGTAGTTATTTAGAAGCAGCGTTTAAGCTTGGCTTTTGAAGTCCTGCTTTTAAAGATGTGACAGGACGCAAACCAATTTGCTTGCGATTTGACATCAATTGTCTTTCTTATCATTGTGCAGAAGTTTCTCCACCGAAGCCGGCCATAGCCAGCACATGGTAGCCAAGCACGGTACCCCCGCAAAGTAGGCACTTATCGAGGCGTCAATTAAGAGTTTGGAGTTGAACATGTGAATTATTATAGAGGTGTAACAGCTGTTTGCAGTTGGTGCCTTCAGCACAATTTTCCAGGCCAGTTCGGTGAAGGTCCAGCGAATCATATCATACTCAAAGAGATGGTTAATGCTGTGGGACCTTGGTAGTTCGTTCAGTGTCTGCCTCACCCTGGTAGATCACCGGCCAATCCTGCTTCCCCACTTGAGAAGTGACACGGCCTCATGCAATGTCACAAGACTAGATTTGATCCTAGTTGTTGCCACACGATAGAGAACTTTTGGCTGGTCTAAGTAGCAACATTCGTCCTGTGGGCCTCTGAGGATGTTTCCCAAATGGCTGATCTGACTCGGGTGTTCTCGTGCTCCTTTTTTAATTGCAACGGGGCACGGATGTACACAGTAGCGTCGTCGTAGATTTCTCCTCCAAGGAAAGAGAACAGTAGGTAATTGAAGTGGCCACGCTGAGTTCGATAGGCAAGATATAGATATTGAGAATTGGGATGTCTCGCCAGAGCCACGGGATACCCTTTTTTCCAAATGTTTCAGTGTATTGGTTCAAAGGAAGACGTAAAGCACTTTGTTGCTTTTTTTGATGATGACGTGTGACCACTCCTCTTACTTTGGTTGCTCTGACCGGTACTGAGTTCGGGAATGGAGGTGTTTCTTGGAAATGGATCGTTTGATAGACTTCCTTGGTCTTGTCAGTGCCAGTTCCGGATTTCGAAATTTGGCCAACCAGATTCCATATGTCCTTCCATGTCACGAGAGCTTTAGAACTGAGGGAGATTTCTGGAATTTGAGTCGATATTAAAAAATGAGAGACCTTTACTTATATTTATGTTTATATAATAGCACTTGAATACGATATAGAAACATTACCTAAATTTTAAGGACCGGAATGAAAATATCCACGTCTATTCACTCAAACTGTCTGAAAGTTACAGACAGACAGCTATTATACTCACAATCAACCCACATTGAAATGAAATGTGGACGTGGCTACACCAATGAAGATGCCGAGTCGAGGAGACCGAGCTAGGCGAAAATATTTTTACCTGGATTTGATACAAATACTGCCACAGATAGCTGTTGATCATGTAAGAATAAGGAGCGCAATTATCATTAATAAAACTTGTCGTACACGCGCACTTTAATCAAACTCATTGGATGATGGAATCATCAATCGTTTGGTTCTTCGCAAGTTTAATCGACCTGAAAAAAGTAATCAAAATCGAGTATTAAATCCGTGATGGGATTGATGTTTGTCATATTTACTGTACAAATGTTGAAAAGCTCACAAATCTTTTTGAGCCCTCGATTAGGAGGTAGTTGCTTGATGGTTAAAAGCCCTATCCTTACTAGACATGTCACCCTGATCATAAATATCATTTGCAATCTTTGTTACTCTTTTAAGAAAATCTCCATAGAGGGACTTGAAGGTTCAGTAAATTCTTGACATGGATCCAATTTTATTCTTTAACATTCAGACCTTAACTGAATGATGTTGCGATATTGAGAGTATTGAAAGAGCGAGTTGGGAGAGATAACAGATTTTATTTTCATCTAAACATGAGTACTACACATTGCCAAAACTGGAGAGTGAAAATAATTTACTCAAATTTTAAGTCCAAATCTATTGACTCTAACCTGAACACGTTTTTCTATTATACTTACATAGAGATCTTTGAGATTTTGTCCTTATTAGATTTTGAATGATTTACTCAACGCAGCTTTGGATTCACTTCTTCTAGCATATTCCTTTTTGAGGTCTCGTCTCGTTGGCACATAGGTAGAACATTATCGAGATCAAATTAGAAACTTGTGAGTTTCTAAATTTTGTTGTCTATGACAATGATCATTCCACTAATGAGCAGAAGTACTTTCAAAGCGTGTTGTTTTACACAAAAGGGAGTAGATACACGGCGGAGTGCAATTACTCTTCGATCATGTGAAGCGCCATATCCAATGTGTCATGGTCTCGTTACCTTACAACAAAATAACTACACATGTCAACTAGATGCAAAATTATTGTGATTGGATTAGTGTAGATGCTCATACAACGATGTGATATTGCACCATCACATATATACTTTGTAGTGAAAAGATAACCACATAACATATCAATTACTTCATCTGTATATTGAACAAATTGTGTGAGTGATTAGTGTACAAATCAAGTTTTTTTTTTTGGTTCTTGAAGATATAATATTCTGGTGTAAAATTTCACTACATATGTTAACTCTTACATTCTAGTATGAGGCTAAATATGAGTTCTCTTCATTACGTTGTCATATGATTTCGTAAACGATTTAACATAGATTTCTTTCTCTTACTTTCATGATGATGTCTGCATTACATTGCAACTAGATATCAAGATTTAGAGCTGGAGGTTGGAGTACTTTCGAGAAGAATCTAAGAATACTATACAAGTAACGTTTTGGTTTCATCCACATGATGTTTTCTATGTGTGGTGTAGGTTTCTGGTACAGACTAGACAATTTATTAAGTATGCACATTTTGCCTTGCATTTTTGAGAGTTATTTGCAATAAGGCTGTATACACATTGTTGCAAACAAAATCTATGAAAGCTTATTAAGCTGAGAAAAACTTGATAACATCTGTCGCATGTAGCTTGAGAAACTCTCTATAGGTTACAAAAATTTGAGAAAAACTTAGCATAAAACTTGAATAACTTTTCGCCACTTGCAAAAAGCTTAGAACACTACCGCATTGTAACATTAGGATTTAGAGAAAAGTTTACTCGAAGATACAGACATAAACTTTGAAGATGAAAGATATCAACAATGATTCTACTCTCCCTTATATAACTCTTCCCAACAAGTACAAGAAAATAAAATCCATCCTCCATCCCATCCGCCACGTCACCATTTAGTGAATAGATGACGTGGCGGATAACCCTAACAAACACACAGATTGCTACCGTGACACTTCCAACTAACACACTAATTAACACACTCAATCATTACCTAACAAGCACACGGATCGTTGACATGACGTTGTCAACTAACAGATTTAATCTCTATCTACCAAGCACGTAGATAGCTGACGTGGCAGCTATGACTACTGCACGCTAACAACGATGAACATCAACATGCTGTTTTTGTCGATTTTGAACAAACAACTTCTCACTGACTTGATTTAATCCTCAGTAGATATGTTCCACAAACTCGTTGACCGCGACTACCTTAGTTGAAAACTCCTCTCCTTTTGAAAACTTGATGAAACTTGATGTAGTAATGGGATGAGCACCGTACATGAGCTAAAATGAATACACTTTTGTGGATGCATTTACAGAATTTTTGTATGCAAATTTCACAAGAGTCAAAAGAGTATACCACTTTTCTTGCTACTCTAATGTGAATGTCTGTAGCATATTCTCTACAGTTCTATTGATTATCTCCGTTTGACCATTAGTATGAGGATGATAAGTTATTGACATTGCTAATTTGATTTTGCAAAAACTAAACAAATTTTTTCCAAAATAAATTAGTGAACTGCGTACTTCTATCAACGATTAAGATTTTTCTTAATTCATGATTCACAAAAATAGCTACTAAGAACAATTGAGCAAGTTGTGGAGCCGTCACAGTTTTTGTGATTGGTGAGATGTGAATCATCTTGTTCAATTTGTCCAAAAAACCATCATTGAATCATTTCCTAACAAAGTTTTTGATAACTCACATATAAGATTCATGGTGACATATTTCCATCGCTGTTTGAGAATAGTTAGAATTTGTAATAAACCAAATGGGTTTTTTATTACTTGACTTGTTTTTTTGACAAAAAACACAACTTTGAACATAAGACTCCACATCCTTTTGTAGTTTGGATCAAAAGTAAAGTCGTTGGATACTCTTCAAGATCTTCTTCATTTCCACATAACCTGCAATGGTTTTATCATGATTTTTTGATAAAATCATTGTGCATAATTCTTGATCTTGCAAAATCCATATATGTTGTTTGTAGAACATCAAACCTCTAGACTTCTCTGCACTTCCAGCTTGTGATACCTTCGTGATCTTTTCATGCTCCTTTGTGACATGTGTTATCTTGCTCCACCAATCTGCTTGAATTTTCACTTCTGCAACATAATTCAAACAAATCATGCGTGCGAGAGCATTCGCAAGTTGTTTTTTCCTTCCAAATACATGATCTTCATGTTGAAGCATTGATGTCACTTTGTCCATTAAATTTGTTGTTTAGACAAATACTTCTGAATTAATAAATAAACAAAGGGTTTATGATCGATCTCCACCACAAACTTATTATCATCCAAGATATACTTCATGTGTTTGATTGTCAACACAATGATTAACTCCTCCCATTCTATCATGTGATAATTTTGTTCTGCCACCATCAACTTTTGAGAATGGAAAACAACAAGATTTCATCGATCCTTCCATTCTTGTTGAAGTATGCCACCTATCGTTGTACTTGATGCGTTAGTAGTCAACTTGATAGGTTGGTGAGTATCATATCACTTGAGGATAGGTGCGTGTAACAAAACATCTTTCAATGCTTGAAAATCTAACTCTTGAGCTATTCACCATCTCCAATTTGGACCTTTCCCTAACATGGCTGTCAAGGTCTGAGCTAGGCGAACAAAACTTTTCACAAATTTACGATAGAATACAATGAATCCTAGAAAACTTTTCAACTGAGTGCTATCAATTTCTTAATGACATCTATCTTCTCACTCATCACTTGAAATCCTGCGGTTGTAACTCTATGATCCAAATAATGTATTTTTTGATTTGCCAAATTCACATTTTGAAACTTTGGCATACAATTGATTGTTTCTCAAAACTTGAAGTATTTCTTGTAAATGACGTCTATGATCACTCAAAGTTTTTCTATACATCAATATATCATCTAGGAAACAATGACATATTTTTCTAAATAAGACTAAAAAGATATTGTTCATCAATCCCATGAATGTAGCTGGTGCATCAGTGAGATCAAAAGACATCACTACATAATCAAAGTGATCAGATATAGTATAAAAAGCTGTTTTTTTTACATCACCGTCTGCAATTTGAATTTGTTCTAGCTATTTGAATTTGATTAGCCGCTTCTCAGATCTAGCTTGATGAAGTACTTTGTTGCTTGAAGTTGATCAAACGAATCATCCATATGAGGTAATGAATATTTTTTTTTCATCGTTTGCTGATTTAACCCTCGGTAATCGATGCATAGTCTCATGTATCTATATTTCTTCTTCACAAAGAGCACTGGAGTTTCATAAAGTGAAACATTTGGATAAATGAATCCATTATTCAACATCTACTCCATTTGAGCTTTGCATTCTTTGAATTCGTTTGTAGACAAACGATATGGAACTTTGCAAGTTAGTGTACTTCGAGATATCACATCAATCTTGTGATCTACTTGTCTCTTTAGTGATAATACTGTAGGTAGATCATTTGGATAACATATTTACACTCTATAAAAATGTCGTTTAAGTAATCATAGATGTAAAGTTTGTTCGTGAACTCAATATGTATTACAAGTCCAAGGAAATATACTTCATCTCTAGAATTGGATGTTTTACTCATATCAAAGAAGGGTAAAT